TCTACTCGCATAATAAAGATTGTCTTTCTTGATAAAGTTTGGTTTGGTAAGAATATTCCCAGTATAGTGCAGTAAAAGGAACTATTGCACGCGAAGTAACTTGATAGAACGCAGACCGACGGACTGATCTGCATTGGCATTACCAGACTCTGGTCAAATTCACACGCCTCTTTTGAAAAGCAAGAACCCGCCCAAACGTGACACGACGTGAGTCAGACTGAAGCGACTGACTCACCATGTTTTCACCATAACAATAGCTTAATATATAGCAAGCAGAATAGTATTGAAGATAATAAATAATTAAATGATCTTTTGTATAATTGCAATTATTTTATATAGACTTGTTTTTAAATTATAAAAAAATTTAATATATCTATATCTCAAATATAATGAAAGTATTTTATGAATAAAGTTTATATTGATTTTTTTTTTTTTAAAGTAAGTAAATATTATCTCTTTATTTTTGTAAAAATTTTAAATTATTTTATATATAGAAATTGACAACATCTTTCATATAACCAATTGATCAATAAGTCTAATGCTAGTTTGTCTACAGAAACTATTTAAGCAATATGAAAAATAAATATTAAAATTGATGTACATTCTAAATAGTACCGAGCAGCTATAAATACCTACTCAGGTTTATATGTGAGACTATAAAAAATTGAAAATTGAAAAAAAAACAAAATATTAAACAAAAACAAAAAAAATAAGTATAACAATACTAATTGTGAAGCTATGGATGCTTTAAATAAAATCACTAGGTGTGCCATGCTAATAGTTTCATTTAATTGAAATACTGTTGCATTTCCAGAAATGGCCAGGCTACTGTCCAAAGTATACAATAGTATTGATAATATATCTTTTTGGTATATGATTAGTCGTGGTAATGGTATTGTTATTGTAATAATATGATTTGTGATTGGTTTGTTTGTTGGTGATGTGATTTTGTTTTGGTTGTTATCGCCATAAAAGATTTTGTTTACATCAATCAGAGTGTAGTGTTTTAATTATACAGATTTGTTTGGAAAATTGATGGTGTTTGATTAATTAAGTTTGGAATGTTGATTAATTAATAGGAGTAAATTGATTGTGGTTTTTTGACAAAAAATTTTTTGATTTTTAGTGGCATAGTAAAATATGTTAGGCAATAGTAAGAAGTAAACATTGAATATATTGTTGGTGCTTTAAGTCAATAATATAAACAATTTTGATGTGAAGTCTGGTTTTTTGAGATAAAAGGAAGTTCTTTAAACAGAAAGTATAATTATTTAAAAAGATTTGTTTATTGAAAAGAAAAGAAAATAGGAAGAATCTCAAAGAAAATTTATAAAGAAGTAACTGCTACAGGACTTTTCTTATACAATCCAAAAAAAAAGCAAGATCCTTAAACTTGTTTTTCTCTGGCCAAAGATCCCACCCCGATGTACCAATGTACTTTTTTGATTTCTTCAAAACTCTTGTAGTGAATAAAAAGGAAGTGTAAAGGATTTTTGAGTATTGAAAGACGAAAAAAATATTTGTTTCTTTATTTTAGAGAAAAATTACTATAAAAGAAAATTTTTAAGAAAAAAGTTATGTACAGGAAAGAGTTTTTTTAATATTTGTTTATATTGATTTTTTTTTAATAGCACTAAAATCTAATTTTATATAATAAATATATATTGTTTAAGGATAAGTAAAAAACTTTTGTTATTATTGTTAATTTATTTGTAAAAGTAATTAGAATCAGTACTATAAATTATTGGTTAAAAAATATAAAATTAACTAATCAGAATTTAGGATTTTTAGTTACAAATAACTAATTAATTAAAAAAAATTTATTAATTAAAATTATTAATTAGAATCTTTAATTATCACATATTATTTTATTAAATTTTTCAATTATTAATATGATATTTGTAACTAAAAATAAGCCCTTAAATTATTTAATATATAAATTTTACAAATCAATTATGTTTTTTTTAAAAAGATATGATTATTTATTTATTATTTTAATAAGAATATAATTTAAAAAATACTTAAATTAAGTAACTTAAATTATAAAAAACTGTTATATATAATTTTTTTTAATTTTATATTTAAAAAAAAAATCTTTTTAATAATAAAAAGCATTTGAATTATAGTTTTGTTTTTAATTTAAAGATCTATTTTTACTTGATATAATGTTAATTGCATTAATATTGGTTACTATTTCACTTTAGATATTGTGAAGCATAATTTCTTGAATACTTTTAAGTAATAATAGTTATATAAAGATTTTTTAAATATATTTAGTCTAATTATTAATTAGTAAATAATATTGAATTTGAAAATGATAATTATGTTAATTTTTTGAAAAAGTAAACTATTTATCTTTTTTTTGAAAAGTCATAAAAAAGAAATATTTTTTAAAGTTCATATCTTGAAAAAAGAAAATTAATTAGCTAAAAAAGTAATATTATAAAAAGCAAAGTTTTTTAAAAAAAAAAGCTTAGAAAGGAAAATCTTTAAAGAAAAGAAAAAAGATATAAAGTATAAAGAAGTATATAAAAAAAAGAGAAAAAGAAATAGAAGAGGGAAAGTAAAAAAATATAAAAAAGGAAAAAAAAAGAAAGATAAAAAAAAGACAACTCAGAAAATTTTCAAGTACAAAAAGAGAAGTAGGAAAAAGTTTTTTTTTTTGTTTTTTATATATTCAGTTAAGGGACATTTCCCTCCCGTTGTTGTTACACACAATATAAATTGTATTATAAAAATAACATTTTGAGTCTTGATTAAGGGAAATGTCCCGTGACTAATATTTAAAATTTAAAAGAAAATAATTTAGATTTACTATAAAATATGTTATTTTTAAATTTTCAAAACAAAAAAATTTTAAGTACTTTTTAATAAATATAATTTTTTTTGAAATTATCGAATTTTAATAAAAATAAAAACATATTCTGTATATTTATCCTCCGAAGCGTAACGATGGACTTTACATTACAATCCAAACTTGAAAATGTCTGTCTATCACTAATGAACTATTGCCAATAAAATTTTAGAATTATGCAATATCACTAATAATTTTTAGCTTCGGACGCTCAAACAGTTTCTGTTACCTAGTTATTATAACTTTTCGATTTTTTGTTAAGTAATGGATAAATAAAAATTCATCCCTTTCCAAATCAAAGTAAAACTCTCAAGCAGCAATACATTTAAAAAATAAATATACATTATATTAAACAATTACAGTATATACGTATATAATTTAGAGTAGCGGCACGTGATAGAATAGACAAATCGGATAAGAGAAGCCTCAAGCATTTGTGTTCAACGAATCAAATATACATTTACCAAAAAAAAAGAAAAAAAAAGCGGAAATACATATATCCTTGTTATGGGTAGATATTACATTCCGAAAAGAGAAGCAAATGCGAAGTCAGCTAGATTATATGATGAATGCATGAAAGATATTTAGGCACGTTAATTCCGAAATGCATGCTATCATAATAATCTCATTCAAAAAGGAAAAATTTTTGATTTACTTTATTTTTTTGCCTCATAAATTTCCTATTTAAATTACAGGCACTGATTATATTACACATACCAATAAATTAGTATTCGATCGGGTTCGGGCAAGACTATTAACTATTTAGGTTTAAAAGTGGATCCGGAATTGTAATCTTCAAAATCTATAATTTATTCTATTCGATACGATTTTATACCATAAGGAAAGCCTCTGTTACCTTTGCGAGGAAACAAAGGAAAGTAATCTACAGTGAAAAGATTTGCTGGCGTTTTACACATAAAGAAAAAAAAGAACGAGAATATATTCTTAAAAAAAAGGTGGATGTTTTTTAGTACATAGACCTTACGAGGAAATATCAACGATATATTGGATATATTCTATTATTATACAAAGTGAATCGATTTCTTATACGAAAAAAAAGTAAACAAACTTCTCAGCCAATGTTCCCAAAATAAAATATTAGAAATTATAAGAGACAATTGGTAATAAAAAGGATTTCTAGTTGCGTTGACTGCCAACCCTTCCAAAACCCTCGTCGTGACGCGTAAACTGCATGCTGTCACCTTCGTGTGATGGTGATGACGACGATTGTTGACCACTAATGTGAGAACTTTCCTGTACATGCTGTTGTGCAGGTTGCGAATACCATTCAACTGGTCTTGAAGTTGGAGGTTCATATTCATATTTGACTTGTATAGAATGATTATCCGATTGGCGTTGTTGCATATGATCTAGATGCTGTTGATTTGTTGAAGGATGTTGAAAATGTGGTTGATTATAGTAAGAAGGCTGTTGCTGATAAGTTTGTTCTGTCGTAGTTTGTCTAACTGGAGTACCCGCATTCATCTCGGCATATGGCGGTCGGTTGGTATTTCTATATGATGACGGTGTCTGTTGACCTGCAACGGGATTAAGTGGTGGTAAACTGAATGGAGGAGGTAATTGCTGATGATTATGATTATTTTGTTGCTCCGGGTGGTCATGCAAAAGCTGGGATTCCATTCTATGAACGTATTGTACGTGCTGTAAATGCTATAGTATATTATAATGACACGTATTACCAAATGATCAGTGACAACTCAAATAAATAAAAATGAAAATGTGCAAATAATAATAATACCTGTGGTTCGTGTAACTGCGTATTTATAGGGTCAACCATCATTTTTTGCTCAACAGGAATGCTAGATGACTAAGTCGAAGATTTTTATTAATACATGTGTGCCCAGACGACAAGCATTAAATGATGTAAGTTATACTTGATCAATCACTTGTGGCAAACACTTACAAGAAAAAAAAAATTAGAATAAAAAAATAAATGTTTAGAATCTTACAGTATCGAATTGTGTTCCACCCTGGGACATTCCCATTCCAAACCCATAGGGATTTTGATCTTGATATTCCATCTGTTATAATATTAAAAATTTCGTTGTTATCATCAATTTTGGTTAATCAACAGAAAAAATTAATTACTACGAACCTTTTCTGTCTTAACGTTAACCTTTTCTTCCCTTGGTACAATGTCTATCAAAAAGTCAAACATATCTATCTTTTTAATAGCATTTGCAATATCTGATCTTTGTAATGTTCTTCTCTTGCATTCCTCAGCATGAAACCTGCAAATCATTAACAATGTCAATTAGACATGCGATTCGTTTTGATTTTTTTGATAATAATTATTTTACCATGCCCTCATTGTTAATTCTGTTATAAAGATGTCGCATCCTTTGGCAAACAAGATCGGAGCCTAGTTTATAAATTGTAAATTTAGAATCGTATCCACTTTAAATTCAGAATCTTCACTACTTACTTCCGCGCTGATCATCTAAATATAGAAACAATTGAGAAGGATTAGCACGCGATGTTTTGGATTACAAGAGAAATCGGTGTAACATCGTAACATCTCACACACAAAAAATTATTGATAATCATAATTTCCGAAAAAAATTTTTTGAAAACTTTACCTTGACCTCCTCATCGGTTTTCATTACCTTCTTGATTCTGGCAAGAGGTAGTTGATGAACTTTGAAATCGTGATCGCCGTGTCGTATTTCTTGTACTTGCTGCTGCCAAAAATTATCAAGAGCATTATAGTGTTGAGGTTGGAATTGAGTTTGAGTGTGATGCATAGGAGGTGGTGGTGGTGGTGCAGCAGCCAAAGCAACTTGTTGCGTTTGCGGATCTATTATTAGATGCTGAATACCTGGACTGCCTACAAGTTGGTGTTGAGGCAGTCCTCTTTGTTGTCTAGTTAGATAGTGCTGTTGTTGATTCAGCTGATGCGAGTTTGGATCCGCCATAAGTTTTATTCAACGGCAAAAAAATCTATTTTGGAACGTTAACAAAAATAAAGAAAAGGAAAAAGGAAATTAAGAAAAAGAAATAACCGTTCCCACTTTTTATATGCGTCTTAAAAAAAATAGTTACTAAGATATATATATGTATATATTATTTTTTGGATTATCGCGCGCACTGACTAATGTGTTACCCGGTCTTGGCAAAATTATGAAACGGAATTAACTTTAAAAGGATTAAATATGCTTTGTAAGTGCGTGGTGGCTTGAGATATAGTCCCACAATCCGATAATTCGAGTTCTATCTTAGATCGAAGGTAAGGGCAATTGATAATATGTTAAAGAGAATTATAAGAACGGGCGACCTTTGATACAGCGGCAACCAATCCAATGACCAGCTTTAACTTTGTTCATTCAGAGCCAATTGGAGGAATTTTCGCATTATACCTATGTTGTGTCCTTTGTGTTTGTTTGTTATGTTGGTAATCTTGTATTTTTCCGAATTTTTTTTTTTTTTTTTTGTAGAAGTGACGAAAATATCCAATATCCCGTGTGTAATATTATTAATAATAAATTTACGCGTGCACAATCGAATTCTTTTTTTTTTTTTTTTTTGGATTATGATAATTTTTTTTTTTTTTTTTTAAATAAAATTTATTTTATTGTGTGTGCAAGAAATCCTCTTTATATAAAAAATTTAGATTTAAAGGTCTCCGAGCGGTGCCGACCAAAATATTGGTAAACATTGAAATTAGGTAATAAGACAATTGGTATCTAATATGGCACAGCAGATTATTTATATAGACGGCGAAATAATATGCGATTGGTGCATAGTATGATTTATTATTTGAGGGAGTGGTTTTAATTCAATTTTTTTTATTTCCTCTCCCAATGACCCTCTATTATTGTGTAATATTGTTGTAATGTCGAAACATAATTGCAGGTATTTATTATTGTATGATTCAAAATGAAAGAACCCTTTCT